GAGTATAGGCTAGGTGGACAAAGACTACAGACCTCACTCAGGGAGAAAGACCTTGGGGTGACCATAATACCGAGCACATCACCGGAGGCACACATCAACCAAATAACCGCTGCAGCATACGGGCGCCTGGCAAACCTGAGAATAGCGTTCCGATACCTTAATAAGGAATCGTTCAAGACACTGTACACTGTGTATGTTAGGCCCATACTGGAGTATGCAGCACCAGTCTGGAACCCAGACCTGGTCAAGCACGTCAAGAAGTTAGAGAAAGTACAAAGGTTTGCAACAAGGCTAGTCCCAGAGCTCAAGGGAATGTCGTACGAGGAAAGGTTAAGGGAAATCGGACTGACGACACTGGAGGACAGAAGGGTCAGGGGAGACATGATAACGACATACAAGATACTGCGGGGAATAGACAAGGTGGACAGAGAGAGTATGTTCCAGAGAGGGGACACAGGGACAAGGGGTCACAACTGGAAGCTGAAGACTCAGACGAGTCAGAGGGACGTTAGGAAGTATTTCTTCAGTCATAGAGTTGTCAGCAAGTGGAATAGCCTAGCAAGTGAAGTAGTGGAGGCAGGAACCATACATAGTTTTAAGAAGAGGTATGACAAAGCTCAGGAAGCAGAGAGAGAGAGGATCCAGTAGCGATCAGTGAAGAGGCGGGGCCAGGAGCTGAGTCTCGACCCCTGCAACCACAATTAGGTGAGTACAATTAGGTGAGTACACACACACACACACACACACACACACACACACACACACACACACACACACTACACACACACACACACACACACACACACACTCACACACTACACACACACACACACACCACACACACACACACACACACACTACACACACACACACACACACACACACACACACACACACACACACACACACACTACAACACACACACCACACACACACACACACACACACACACACACACACACACACACACACACACACACACACACACACACTACACACACACACACACACACACACTACACAAAACACACACACACCCCACACACACACACACACACACACACACACACACACACACACACACACACACTACCACACACACACACACTACACACACACACACAAACACTACACACACACACACACACACACACACACACACACACACACGATTAAAGGCTACCTGTCCAACAGAAAATCGTCTGTGTTGTTCCAGGGACATAGAAGTGTAACTTAAGACTTTGAATTAGGAACCCCACAGGGAGGTGTGCTCAGTCCCACACTGTTCAATATTCTAATTAATGCATTACTTAATGCTATGCCTAGTCAGTCCCATAATTATGTGATTAGTTTTGCTGATGATATAATGATTCACACCACCGGATTCTCCAACACCCAAAACATTCTTAATCATGTACTAGCCTCGTGTCAGGACCTGGGGTTGATAATCTCTACTGATAAAACAAAGATACTCAATAGGCGTCCTCCTCGACAGAGTCACAGTTCGTCAGATCCAATTGCATGATGGGTCTCTTCTAGAATATGTAAGCAGATACAGGTATCTAGGCTTTGAGGTTCCACTACTTGGACCTGTTGTAACAAGACTTTGTCGCCAATACAAAGAACGACTAAGAGCACTTAGAGTTGTGGCAGGGCTTCACCCCAGGTATGGTGCTAATGTTAAAATTGTGAAAATGATGTATCTTGCTTATATTAGATCATTGGTTGATTATGCTGCGCCACTACTTGCTCTTGTGTCTGACTGGAAGCTTGGAGGGCTGGAAAAACTGCAGAACGAAGCAATGAGGATCATCCTAGGATGCCCTCGTACTGCCAAAATTTTAAATATGCAAAAAGAACTTGATATTCCAAGCATCAGAGATCGTGTTACTGAAAGAAATATCCTAATTGGGGTTAATATGCTCAGGCAAGCTCATTCAAACCCCTGCACAGAAGCCCTTCAAACTTTCCTCAGCACTGGTGAACACTCCTCCAGATGGATCGAAAAGACTGGAACCGACCTCCGCATGAATCAGATACATGATCTATGTCAAGTAAGGCAACAGCGGCACTTCTCCGCTCCATGGAATATTACCCCATTCCAAACTACCATTCCTCCATTTCCCCCCAAACTACTTCTTAAATCACAACCAAAACTTCGCCTTGAAGCCAAACATGAGGCCTTAAGCTGTATTGATAACTTAGTCACACAGCACACACTCTCGCAAATTATTTACGTTGATGGTTCTGTTCACCAATCCACTGGTGCAGCTGGTAGTGCTGCTGTTGTCGTACAGAGTGATGGCTCTCTTAAAGAAATTGGAGCACGCATCAATAATTGGGCCTCTACCCTTCAGACAGAACTGTTTGCCACACACATACACACATACACACACACACACACACACACACACACACACACACACACACACACACACACACACACACACACACACACACACACACACACACAATGTTGATGCACAAAGACACGATATGAACAAAATAAAAAGATGAACATGATTACTAGTGTAGAAAATAAAAACTCAGGGCAGCAGTGTTGCTCATGTTTAAGATCTGATGACCTGACAAACTTAAAAGTGTTGCCCACCACACTTGTAGGCTTCCTTTTACCTTTCATACCATGAGCTCTTCTCGTGTGATTCTTGTGGTGTGATTCTTGTGGTGTGAGTCTTATGGTATGTGTTTTGTGGTGTGATTCTTTTGGTATAATTCTTGTGGAGTGATTCTTGTGGTGTGATTCTTGTGGTGTGATTCTTGTGGTGTGATTCTTTTGGTGTGATTCTTGTGGTGTGATTCTTGTGGTGTGATTCTTGTGGTGTGATTCTTATGGTATGTGTTTTGTGGTGTGATTCTTGTGGTGTGATTCATGTGGTATAATTCTTGTGGAGTGATTCTTGTGGTGTGATTCTTGTGGTGTGATTCTTGTGGTGTGATTCTTTTGGTGTGATTCTTGTGGAGTGATTCTTGTGGTGTGATTCTTGTGGTGTGATTCTTGTGGTGTGATTCTTGTGGTGTGATTCTTGTGGTGTGATTCTATGGTGTGATTCCTGTGGTATGAATCCTGTGGTATGATTCCTGTGTTATGATTCTTGTGATATGATTCCTGTATTATGATTCTTGTGGTGTGATTCTTGTGGTGTGATTCTATGGTGTGATTCCTGTGGTATGAATCCTGTGGTATGATTCCTGTGTTATGATTCTTGTGATATGATTCCTGTATTATGATTCTTGTGGTGTGATTCTTGTGGTGTGATTCTATGGTGTGATTCCTGTGGTATGAATCCTGTGGTATGATTCCTGTGTTATGATTCTTGTGATATGATTCCTGTATTATGATTCTTGTGGTGTGATTCTTGTGGTGTGATTCTATGGTGTGATTCCTGTGGTATGAATCCTGTGGTATGATTCCTGTGTTATGATTCTTGTGATATGATTCCTGTATTATGATTCTTGTGGTGTGATTCTTGTGGTGTGATTCTATGGTGTGATTCCTGTGGTATGAATCCTGTGGTATGATTCCTGTGTTATGATTCTTGTGATATGATTCCTGTATTATGATTCTTGTGGTGTGATTCTTGTGGTAGGATGAGGTAATGGGTTCTGAGATTCTGTTTCCGTGACGATTTTTTTTTCTTACTTTTTTGCAGCAGGAGAATCGCGTCTTGAGATCGACTTGTTTTCCTTTATTTTTTAGAAAGTCCGTAACGAGTGCCAGGATCATTAAGACCATCATCTACGTAGCTAAAACGCGGAGTCCTTTACTCCATAAAAGATTAGTTTACGTTTTTTTGTGTATACAGTAAAGAGTGAGTGGAAGTAGTGTGACTTGTCGGAAGGTCAAGCCTCTGGTGACAGTAAGAAGCCTTAAAGAGGGAAGTCAGTTTTGGCTACTACATCAGGACAGGGCAGGTCAGGTCAATCTCCACCTGTACCATGATTTCTTTGCAATTGTCAGGTCACGTCGGAGTAAACTAGGTCAGGTAAGGTTAGGATAGGTTAGGTCAGGTTAGCGGAGGGTAGACTAGATTAGATTTTTTTTTTCCTTGACTTTGACATTTTCTCCTATATTATTTTTCTTATATTCTAGCGGACGGCGGGCACCAACAACTAGACTGAATAGGTCAGTAACCAAAAGGCCTGGCCTGGTCTAGGACTGGGCCGCTGGGGCTTTAACCCCCTGGAAGCGACTACAGGTAACCTACAGGTAACTCCTCGCTCTGAATAATTCACAAGGATTTATCGTGAAACGTGCAACAAAACTGATACAAAAGTTAATTTTTCGCTTACGGAAAATTTCTCGTCAGTTCCTGAAGCCTCAAAAAAAGGTTGGCAAGCATTTTCCTCACTGTTTTCATCCCATTGTTAGAGAGTTTTCAAAAACAGATGATGTTACCTTCGTCAGGAAACGGGACAAGTGTTTTCTGAAAGGGGTTTGTTATATAATACCCGCCAACTGGAGATTTTCGTCACATGACTAAGGCTTTCCGCGGGTTTACCGCTCCACCCTATAAAGATGACATCATGTTTGTGCGCCTTCCCATATTTACTCCACTACTCCCTTCATGTGAGGTGCTTTGTTGATGAAGGGCTCTTGATCCATTGGATTGGACTTACTCCTCTTTCTCGACGGCCAGAGAGCCCTGTAAATATCTCAACTACTGCTTTCTCTTTACTCAGCTCAGATCTGACAGCCTCCTATTCACCAAGAGCTGTATGATCTATACAGGTTTAGCGCTCCCTCTTGAATATAGTAATAATAACAATGTGTATCCACTACCCCATCATCAGTCTCTTCCTCGCCCCTTTCCTCTCTTTCTCTCTTTCCCCCTCCCCTCCACACCCCTAGCCCCACCCCCTCCCTGGGCTTCATTTAGGGTGCTATAACGGTGTTGTCCTATGAGAACGACAAAACATTGTTCTGGTGTAGTATAGGGAAGGCAGCAGTGTTGTGCGGGTGGCAGTCTCCTCCACACTGCTCTATCATGAACCTCCTCAGGTCTCTCTATATCTTCAGCGCCTACATCGCCACTGTCCTCTGTGTCATGGCCTCCCCAGCACACACACAACCTCGTGAGCTGTGGCACAAACCTACTGACGGAGGCAGCGACGTGGTGACTCAGCTTCTGGTGACGCTGGTGGAAGTGGCTCGCTCCACTACCTACTCGAATCTCCTGGCCCTCAACATCACAAATGTTATAATCCTCGGTCTCGCCACTCTCGCCTTCTTAAGCTACTTCGGCTTCATTGATATGAGCCTTGGTAGGTCTGTGGACGGACCCTGGGGAGTAGATGTGTCCGCCGGCACCAGAGTCGTGGCTTCTCTCACTCCACTCGTCCATCAAGCCTTCCTTGTCTACAAGGAACTCCAGACCGTGTAGAATATGTCAGTAAGTATTTTCTATCCACACTGAATGTCACGTGAATAACGTAAATGTGCAACATCATCGTTTGGATATCTTGTGTTGCACAAGTGTCTTATTTTGTGTTGCACAAGTGTCTTATCTTGTGTTGCATAAGTGTCTTATTTATCTCCGTCACTTATATGCAACATTAATACAACACTGAATGACAGACACAAGCTTAGCTTCTCATTATTTATTATAATTATTATTATTATTATTATTATTATTATTATTATTATTATTATTATTATTATTATTGTTGTTGTTGTTATAATTCTTGACCCATGGGGAACATAGAGTGCATGAGAAACGGGAGGAAATCAAAATTCATCCGAAGATGGGAAGGGAAGGGAAGGGAAGAGAAGGGAAGGGAAGGGAAGAGAAGGGAAGGGAAGCTCCAGTTACTTGGATTACAAATTTTAGGAACTACCAGTGCAGCATTTTCCTTTGAAAGATGGTTAAGTATACTTGGCTAGGATGAAACTAGTGGAAACTACTAGACTGCCGTTCATAACTACTAGACTACCGTTCATAACTACTAGACTGCCGTTCATAACTACTAGACTGCCGTTCATAACTACTAGACTGTCTTTCATAACTACTAGACTGTCGTTCATAACTACTAGACTGTCGTTCATAACTACTAGACTGCCGTTCATAACTACTAGACTGTCGTTCATAACTACTAGACTGTCGTTCATAACTACTAGACTGCCGTTCATAACTACTATACTGCCGTTCATAACTACTAGACTGCCGTTCATAACTACTAGACTGCCGTTCATAACTACTAGACTGCCGTTCATAACTACTAGACTGCCGTTCATAACTACTAGACTGCCGTTCATAACTACTAGACTGCCGTTCATAACTACTAGACTGTCTTTCATAACTACTAGACTGCCGTTCATAACTACTAGACTGCCGTTCATAACTACTAGACTGTCTTTCATAACTACTAGACTGCCGTTCATAACTACTAGACTGCCGTTCATAACTACTAGACTGTCTTTCATAACTACTAGACTGCCGTTCATAACTACTAGACTGCCGTTCATAACTACTAGACTGCCGTTCATAACTACTAGACTGTCTTTCATAACTACTAGACTCGCTCATAACTACTAGACTGTCGTTCATAACTACTAGACTGCCGTTCATAACTACTAGACTGTCGTTCATAACTACTAGACTGTCTTTCATAACTACTAGACTGTCGCTCATAACTACTAGACTGTCGTTTATAACTACTAGACTGTCGTTCATAACTACTAGACTGCCGTTCATAACTACTAGACTGTCGTTCATAACCACTAGACTGCCGTTCATAACTACTAAACTACCGTTCATAACTACTAGACTGCCGTTCATAACTACTAGACTGCCGTTCATAACTACTAGACTGCCGTTGATAACTACTAGACTGCCGTTCATAACTACTAGACTGCCGTTCATAACTACTAGACTGCCGTTCATAACTACTAGGCTGTCGTTCATAACTACTAGACTGTCGTTCATAACTACTAGACTGCCGTTCATAACTACTAGATTGCCGTTCATAACTACTAGACTGCCGTTCATAACTACTAGACTGCCGTTCATAACTATTAGACTGTCGTTCATAACTACTAGACTGCCGTTCATAACTACTAGACTGTCGTTCATAACTACTAGACTGCCGTTCATAACTACTAGACTGTCGTTCATAACTGCTAGACTGCCGTTCATAACTACTAGACTGTCTTTCATAACTACTAGACTGTCGCTCATAACTACTAGACTGTCGTTCATAATTACTAGACTGCCGTTCATAACTACTAGACTGCCGCTCATAACTACTAGACTGTCGTTCATAACTACTAGACTGTCGTTCATAACTACTAGACTGCCGTTCATAACTACTAGACTGTCGTTCATAACTACTAGACTGCCGTTCATAACTACTAGACTGTCGTTCATAACTACTAGACTGTCGTTCATAACTACTAGACTGTCGTTCATAACTACTAGACTGTCATTCATAACTACTAGACTGCCGTTCATAACTACTAGACTGCCGTTCATAACTAATAGACTGTCGCTCATAACTACTAGACTGTCGTTCATAACTACTAGACTGTCGTTCATAACTACTAGACTGTCGTTCATTACTAGACTGTCGTTCATAACTACTAGACTGTCGTTCATAACTACTAGACTGCCGTTCATAACTACTAGACTGCCGTTCATAACTACTAGACTACCGTTCATAACTACTAGACTGCCGTTCATAACTACTAGTCTGCCGTTCATAACTACTAGACAGTCGTTCATAACTACTAGACTGCCGTTCATAACTACTAGACTGTCTTTCATAACTACTAGACTGCCGTTCATAACTACTAGACTGTCGTTCATAACTACTAGACTGTCGTTCATAACTACTAGAGTGTCGTTCATAACTACTAGACTGTCATTCATAACTACTAGACTGCCGTTCATAACTACTAGACTGCCGTTCATAACTAATAGACTGTCGCTCATAACTACTAGACTGTCGTTCATAACTACTAGACTGTCGTTCATAACTACTAGACTGTCGTTCATAACTACTAGACTGTCGTTCATTACTAGACTGTCGTTCATAACTACTAGACTGTCGTTCATAACTACTAGACTGCCGTTCATAACTACTAGACTGCCGTTCATAACTACTAGACTACCGTTCATAACTACTAGACTGCCGTTCATAACTACTAGACTGTCGTTCATAACTGCTAGACTGTCGTTCATAACTACTAGACTGTCGTTCATAACTACTAGACTGTCGTTCATAACTACTAGACTGCCGTTCATAACTACTAGACTGTCGTTCATAACTACTAGACTGCCGTTCATAACTATTAGACTGTCGTTCATAACTGCTAGACTGCCGTTCATAACTACTAGACTGCCGTTCATAACTCCTAGACTGTCGTTCATAACTAATAGACTGTCGCTCATAACTACTAGACTGTCGTTCATAATTACTAGACTGCCGTTCATAACTACTAGACTGCCGCTCATAACTACTAGACTGTCGTTCATAACTACTAGACTGTCGTTCATAACTACTAGACTGTCGTTCATAACTACTAGACTGCCGTTCATAATTACTAGACTGTCGCTCATAACTACTAGACTGTCGTTCATAACTACTAGATTGTCGTTCATTACTAGACTGTCGTTCATAACTACTAGACTACCGTTCATATCTACTAGACTGTCGTTCATAACTACTAGACTGTCATTCATAACTACTAGACTACCGTTCATATCTACTAGACTGCCGTTCATAACTACTAGACTGTCGTTCATAACTACTAGACTGTCGTTCATAACTACTAGACTGCCGTTCATAACTACTAGACTGCCGTTCATAACTACTAGACTGCCGTTCATAACTACTAGACTGTCGTTCATAACTACTAGACTGTCGTTCATAACTACTAGACTGCCGTTCATAACTACTAGACTGCCGTTCATAACTACTAGACTGCCGTTCATAACTACTAGACTGTCGTTCATAACTACTAGACTGTCGTTCATAACTACTAGACTACCGTTCATAACTACTAGACTGCCGTTCATAACTACTAGACTGTCGTTCATAACTACTAGACTGCCGTTCATAACTACTAGACTGCCGTTCATAACTACTAGACTGTCGTTCATAACTACTAGACTGTCGTTCATAACTACTAGACTGCCGTTCGAAACTACTATCCTGCCGTTCATTACTAATAGGCTACCGTTCCAATCCACTAGACTTCCGTTCCAATGTTTTCTTATCTTGACGCAGTGATGACACTCTTGGACTGTGTTATGAGTTCTGATATTGACAAGTAGGTGGATCGCCAGCGCACTCAGCTCACACAATGAGGTCCTGGGATCTAATTCCCGGTACGGCTGGAAAACATTAAGACGTGTTTCCATGAGATACCTGATGTCCCTCTTCACCCATCAGTAAAGTAGGTACCTGGGTGTTAGTCGACTGGTGTGGGTCGCATCCTGGGACAAGATTGACCTAATTTGCTCTAAATGTTCAGCATATCAAGCTGCTTTCTATATAGTAGTATGTCAGTGATGTCAACTAGGACTATATACCTTGTACATGTACTTGTAGAAATAAAAACTAGCTAACCTGACTTAGATTCTGCGTCCCCGGATTATTGATTAATAATTAACTGGTCGGAAAGTACAGTGCTTGCACTCGAAAACAGGGGGAGGGATGTTTGCAGTTTTGAACCGTATATCGGCACGCCTCTGGCAAGACAGTGATGGAGTGAGTGATGCTGGAAGTGTTTCTTCTTTTCTGGGTCACCTGCCTTGATGGGAAACGGCCGATGTGTTAAAATTAAATGCTTGTCAGGTGACGCAGAAATAACAGTTGCTGACCCGTGAAACATTGTGTTTCCTCCATGTGTTCATATATGGATGGAGAATAAAAAGCACAATACCGTGATGGGAACAACACACAAATAACCCGCACATAGGAGAGAGAAGTTCTGAAGACGTTTCGGTCCGACTTGGACCATTTACAAGTCGGACCGAAACGTCATCATAAGCTTCTCTTTCCCATGTGCGGGTTATTTGTGTAATATATGGACGAACCGTCGCCCCTGGTTCATTAATTGGCAGCCAGTTTGTGTCATTAATCAGTCGGTGGCAACGTGTGGAGTTAGCGACACTTGTGAGTCTTGCAGGATAGAGACGCTGGCTCTGGCAGTTACCTCAATGAGAGGAGCTATTCTTGGCTTAATTGACTTTGCTAACATTGTCGTAATTGTCCCCACTATTTACTCGGGTCATTATCATAATATAGCATTATTGATCGACCTGAATGATCCACCACAGACTATGTATAGACTATGTCACTAATTTTGGCATTATTAGCTGATGATTTACTCAAATTTATCCAGCTAAGACTTCTATATCTGACTTGATAAGCCCAACTA